AATTTTGTCATATGAGTGTTTTTTTGATCGTTCGAAGGAACAATTAAGCTCTGAAGTAATCTCTTTGTTGGTGGAAGCTTCAGAGTAATCTCAATGTTGGCTGATGAATGATTTTGCAACCTTTTTGGCGGATGTCTGCGCACGATACTGTTTCAAGAAAAGCAATTCTCAACTCATTCTCATCCATCTTATTAATGCTCTTATTTGTCTTACATAATCCCTATTGCGTTCCGTTCCACATTTTCGACTTGAAGTATTGAAAAACGATCCAAAAATATGCCTAGCGAAATTATTATTCTTTTATTTGGACGGCACCAACTCAGAGTTTTGTCTCAGTCGCAACAATGAGTCGTTTAACAATAATGATGATATTAACCAGATTGCTGCTCTTAATAAGCATTATTTGCGTACGTCTTTGTAGCGCTATTAAATTCGACAAATTCACTATCGAACGGATTCGTTTATCCGAGCGCAGTTTCAATATACAGCTGCAATCCGGCAATGAAACAGACCGATTAAGGAGGTACAACTTCCATTCTAATCATGCCTTATCGATTTGCTTCTAAGCTATCAGAGCCCCAAAAACTGTAGACACTTGGTTCGAAAAGCTGCAGGATAATACTGAATGGAAAAATATCGGAGCTCGAGTTTCAGCCAAGTACGTGAAGTTAGAGCCTTCCACTGACTCAGATCCTGTTTCTTAGCCTGTGGCTAAGCCTGCTCTCAAATCTGCTCGCAGACCTGTCGAGCTTTTGAACTCTCGACACGTTCCCAATGAGCCGATATTGAGCTATCCAACTGACAGTTAATTAATTGTGAATGCTGCTGCTGCTTCAGGATTTAGTTTCGTTTTGTTTCAGAGAAACTTATGCAGCACAGAAAGTACGCAATGTCAGTTATTTGTTGAATAATATCCTGAAAAATTACGATAAAAATTTCCGTCCAAATTTTGATCGTACGTTTATTATTATGAGTATTAATTGTTGAATTTCTTTTTTCAAGAATGCTAAATTCTATCTTAACATATTTATCTCATCGTTATCGTGCGATAAGTGCGATAAGTTTCACCAATCGTTTCGGCAGTGTTTTTTTTTNTTTTTTTTTCACTGCATTCAATCACAATCCATTCTCATGAAGAATTTCCAGGGAAGCAACCCACTCTGGTCTACATCGATATATTTGTGCGCACAATGGGACCTATCTCTGAGCTTACCGACGTTTGTAAATTTATTGGAGAGATATTAAGATATTAACTAGATATGGAGAGATATTTGTAACTTTATGAAATAGCTGATTTCTTTTTTTGATGACCGATAAAAATATGCCGTATTTATAGACGTACGCATTCGACTGTTACTTTCGTCAAACATGGAGTGACGATCGTTTGAAATTTAATAGTGAATATCGTAAAACTCTTTCATTGGGTATGTCGATGCTTGACAAAATATGGAAACCAGATACGGTGATTAGTCACTGATCAATTTATAGAGTTGCCGAACTATGGGAATACTTCTTCTGATCACTTGTTCTTTTTTTCGATTTTTTTATACGCATGAAAACTTTATGAAGATTGATTCCAATTGTTTGATATAATCAAATTAATCCAGTATTATCGGCTGGTTTTGTATGGTTAAATTAATCAATTAATCATTTCATTGTTTGCATTTATTCAGCTTAAAAGTTCACTGCATCCGCTGCATTTAAGCTTCATCCAATTTGCTTGTCTGAAAGAAGTGGCGCGATCACTGGATTAATCCAGATGAATGTTTAATGGCTATAGCAATTGCAGTTCTTTTGGAATGGTCATGGATCGTGGATACATACGTTGACAACGCCGAATCGCTTGGTTCGGTTAAGCGCAGAGGGTGAAATTCTTTATTCATCAAGATTAACTGTCAAAGCGAAATGTCAAATGGACCTACATCGATATCCATTGGATATTCAAGTATCAATTCATCGCAGTCTTCATTTTTTCAAATTTTCAATACGCAGCTGCTCCATTGGTTCAGAGTTTTCTCATGTGTGTACGTGTACACCACAAATATTGAATTCATTTACCTTGAATGATTACCTGGATTGGCTAGGCTATCAAACATTTACAACGTTGCTGGCCACAGTGCTCGCGTTTCCGATCGCATCGTTTTAGCCTTGATTGACACCACACCGCTGGTTAGGCAAGCAGGCCAACTGAGCACAACCGAGTATTTAAT